TGTAGCACTTGAAACGTCGCCAATGAGTCAAGCACGAAAACACCACAGAGAGAATGGCAATAGGCTGCAAGTGTACTCTAACATTCCAGTCATTTAAAGTAGTTTCGATGGGAACGACGATCACACAGCCTTCCTGGCAGGTCAGTTCACCTTCTCCTTTTCGTGTGCCTTAACAAAATCGGAGTTTCACGACCTAGCACACTCAAACATTCCAAACATTCCAAGTCAGCTGCGGCAGGAACCACGGTCACAGAAAAATTACTTGCGGTTCTCACTGAATCATCAAGCTTTCAATAGGTGCTGGAAACATCGGCTTGCAAATGTATGCAGCAAATAATTCTGGGTCAAAAATCATGTCATGGGAAGGAGAGGCTGATGTCTGATTAGCAACATAACACGAGGCAAATCACCCCATCGGTACTCGATAATTACAGAACTTTGATGACAACAGCGACCAGAACACGGGAAAGCTGCAACATAACGATACTCAACCGAGGTGAATACTGTCGAGTCTGTGATTTTGCCTGTGGCAGGCTGTGGAGTGAATCAGCATGCTGTTGAATCATCAAAGAGATAGAATGCGGATTCATTTAGCATTCGAAAAGTGACGTTACACATGACTATTAACAGTTTGGAGGAGGGGCCTTGTGAATGGAATACTGAATATATTTTACTTCTCGAATATACCGAAGAGGGCCATATTTAGAATGAAAAACGAGACACGTAACTACATGTGCAATCTTGGACAGATTAAACAGCTGATCACCACCTACACCCAAATGATGACAGATTATTTATGATGAAAGTCAGTATAAGGCAGAATGACGACAACCTTCAGGTGGTCCCCTGTTCAGCGTCATCCTGAAAAGCGAACTAATGCCGTCAAATCGACGAAATGGCAACGCTCAACCGAACGGTCCTATTCAGGGCTAGCCTTAACTGTAGATGGCCTGGCAGATGTAAAAGTGGGATAAAATAATGCATAGTGCCATCAGTCTTTGAACAGGGGGCGGTACAACCAAGTAAAATAGAAAATACATCAAGTGCCACATGACAAACACGCAAATCGCTTACTGGTAACGATAATTTTGTACAACGATCTGTACTTCTGGTCTGGCTGATCGCCAGGAATGTAATCGCCCAGACCGATGGTAGTCAGCGAGACGAAACAGTAATAGAAAGCATCCAAAAATGTCCAGTTGTTTTCAATGGACATCAGGATGGCTGCCGGGATAACGAACAGCAACACGACCAAAATGCTCGTGACAATGATCAGGTGCAGAATCTGGATGAATGCTGGCCCATATTGGTGTCCCAAGGCAGATCGAAGCCTGACGAGAAGCCACACGGCCGGTGCCTT